AATCAGTATCGCTGTTTTTTGTGACCAATTTTCAAACATCGCGTGACTGTTTTGTGTGCACGCATGGGTATTTACTCAATTGCACTACTGAAGCGAAAAAACTATTTTGTATTCAACGATGAGACTTTAAAATGTGAGGTTGAAATTGAAGGAAGGCATGATAGGTTAGACCGTTAAAATTTCGCAACAATGTAATTCACTCGGATTTCTTCGCTCTGACCTTGATATATGATCACTGTTCTTATTTTTTGTTTTTGTTTTCAACACTGATGACCTTCTCTGAATGTTGATGTTATCGTTTTTGAAATGTATATGTATGAGACCAGGAATTCTATATGTCTTGTTAACTTCCATTTTCGACTCTGTTCTAAGAAGACCGAGAAGATTTCCAACATCATTCTTCCGATTCCACTTACTCATATTCATCCACTTTTTTGCCAAGGTTTCGTAAGCAACTTCTTGAAAACCTGAATGAGCAGGTATAGTAAAGATACTCAAACGATTGACTTGCATGCAGAGTGTTTATCACCACAACAATAGTGTGGAATCCTGTTTAATGGTTTGACTTCTGATATTTACTTCATGGCCTTCCCTCAACTGTCTCGCGTGTATTTGCCGCAATATGAAAGCTAAGTGACATCTGAAGCTAACTGACATCCTTCAGAATCTTTTCAGCGCTTCATGTCGTTTCAGTTCGTCGCAATCTTACTCTATTGCACCTTTTACTGGTCCGCACGGTCTCTCAAATGCACTGGAATGCGTTTTCAGAGATCATTGATTGTTCATATTGTCCCTTTGCTTACAATTCGACTAGCAATTCCATCGCACCGTTCATAAGCACTCTCACGATGAAATTTGCATGAATGCTGATTGCATTTCATCGTCAACAACACGTTTTCTCACCACGTCATCGACTCTTTCTCCATTCAAAATCTCAAAAACTTGCTAATACTTATTTTTTGACAGCGTATCGCTCCAGCATCTGCATCACAATAAGAACGAAATTTGTTGTTGTGAAAGTTGTGTTTGTCTAATGGTGAAAGTCATGTGCAAGGTTATGAATGACTTTATCTATTGTGGCTGATTGTGATCCTGAATGATACAGCTGATTATGAACTTACAATTAGGATAAATGAATTTCACGTGTTCATTTTTTGTTCATTCCCATTTTGTGTATCCTATTATACATGGAATGTGATTGATTGTTGAGTGGGAACGATGAACTTTTGAAAAAGTTTTTATTTCGGCACAACAAAATAAAACGATTAGCAAGCACAGACGTACGCATCGATAAACATACATCAACAGGAAAATGAACGCATTGCATCAGTATTGAACAACACATCGATTCACGTAGAACAGACTGAAGAATTGCTGCAATTGAACGTTTCTCACTTCAATTCGTAGATCGATTCTGTTGCATGTTTGGTGCTTTCTCCTCTTTATAACATGAATGCTTTTTCTCGTTGTGTATGCTTACATACTGAAGAGTTCGATTGATTTCTAGAGCATTTTCTACGGCGCTTTCAACTTGGTTCAGACGTGTTTCAATGGTTGCATAGAGCGTTACGATGCCGCCATCAGGTCATTATTCGTTGAGTATTCTTAATGAGATATTAACTTTTTTCAATAGTTCTTTTTCTTTAAGAATCGCAAAACGCGGCCAAATAGACGTGAAAATCAATGGCCGAAGAAATTCCCGAAGGAGACTACGAAAGAGGCAAGAAAGTCTTCAAAATGCGATGCCTGATGTGCCATGTGGTTAATTCTGACGTGCAAAAGACTGGACCACCACTTCGTAATATTTTCGGACGAAAGGCAGGCACTGTAGTGGGCTACGACTACTCGGCGGCCAATAAGCTTGCGGTAATGCTTAAACTGCATTCATTTCTTGGATTACAAATTGTGAACCTGTTAATATTTTTGAACCTTCATTTCTTTTCACTTGAGGATCACAGATTATGAATTTATTGCTGTTTTCGGACTCAGCGATTTTTGAAACCGAAATAGTATATCA